TCGGGAATAAAAGACAAACTGCCTAATTTCGCCTCTTCCATGTGTATATACCAATTTAACTGCTCCTGTGGAGCAAGTTACATAGGCCGTACAATTAGGCGTGTTTCTCGTCGAATTTCCGAACATCACCCTGCCTGGTTAAGCAAAGGTCAAACAAAATCTATTCGCAGTGCTATTCTGGCGCATCTTGTGGAGACAGAACACAAGATTGACGTTAATCATGCTTTCAGGGTCATTTACCGCATACCTATGAATCTCAATTTCGCTTTAAGAGTTCGACTTCTAAATATTGCTGAGGCTGTGGGGATTCACATTAATAAGCCTAATTTATGCACCCAGAAGAAGTTAGTCCAGTCATTATCATTACCTTGGCCATCCAGGTTTGAATAATCCAGAATTTTTGTGAATTTTCCTAATTTTAGTTGATATTCTATCCGCTGTTATATCTTTATTATTATTATAATTTAAGCATCTTTAATTAACTGCAATAGCATTGATCATACTTTACAAATCGATATTATTTAAAAAAACGCTAATATTGTTATTAACTACTAATTTAAAATATTCTGTGTATAAAAACATATATATAATTGTAGAGCCTGGAAGAGGAATTTATCGAAAAGAATATTCTTTGCTCGATTATTTTGTTTTTATATATATATATGCATAAATGTTTTATATATTGATATTAATGTTCGTATACGGGCTTGCCTTGTACCGGAAGGTCCTGGGTTCGAAACCCATGGGGTGCGTACTGCCGATGAGCCCAAAACTAGGACGAAGCAACTGTCCAGTATTCCATACTTTTCAATGGTCCTCTAGCTGATATCAATCGGTGGTCTAAACTCAAATAATATTAAATAGTTTATCGTTGTGTGTAGTTGAGAAAAGCCAATGAAATATAATGGTGTGGACATGCAGATTGTCTGCCTCAAATGTTCAGTGAGCTATACTGACTGAAACAAATGTTTCTGCAGGTTCTACCATACCACATTAAAAGCATTTGAAATGATAGTTTTGCTTGCTTACGCTAGGTAAGGTGTCTGACTGCGAAGTGGTGCTGCTGGCAAATAGGAATGTAACAGCAATACGGTGTTGCCCTTAGATGACAAGTAGGCTAGTCAGGCTGCATTTGCATATTCTGGGTTTAGCTCGTTATAAGTGGTCAACTCGAAGATTTTGTATTCCTACTCACCTCTCAACAGGCCAAGGCTGGCGGCAGGATTCCCATACTGACACAACATCAAGAACCAATGTAAACAGGATGTGTGTGTGTGACTGACATCGAATCGTTCTCCACAAGGATATACAGTCAGAAAACATCAACGCATATCCTGTTTCAGGTATTCAAAGAAGAAATCGAATTCCGCGATGTGGGCTGATAGGAAGTAAAACCTGTACATAAAACTCCATACGCGGACAGAAATTATTCCATCATCATTCGCCATCATTTAATATCCACCCACTGTTAAAAAAAAATAAACAGGTAGGTAGAAAGTCGAAAACCTCTCCGACAACTAGATAAGGATCTGACCTAGAAATACACTAGACTCAGTAGCATCAAACAAAAAGTCATATTGGAGCGTTTAAAGTCAACATTTGATGAAAAAGAGGACAACATGATTCGCCAGATAGCATTATGGCTTCTTGATTCATGGATATGTGTTGTGTTTTAAGAGACACGCATACAAGATCCAATTGTGTCCAGTCACTTAAATCCACTTGGTTAAAATGGTGAATCTACAGTCTTCACTTTACCCGTATCAGGCGATTCTCAAAGTAATCACCGATGACTAGCCAGTTTAAAAATAGCATTCACTGCTAGAGTAAAAAATCGCTACAATATTAGATTCCAGATGAAAGTCTTTTGTATGCTATCTGGCTAAACAGATCCTTTAGGAGTGTGAAAGAATGTGGTTCTTGTTGATTTATTTATTTTTTAATTTTTTTTATTTTGGTTACAGCTTGATGCCACACCATATTTTCAGTACAAGTATGGCATTTTCAGCATGGATATCGGTAGCCCAAATTTGCAGGCCGACCATAGATATCGGGTGTGCGCCGGCAGAGGCTCGAACCTCGGACCATGTGCATGGTCGGCGAGAGTCCTAACCACTGATGTCTCCCCATATGCACAAGTGACTGCATTCTGGGCAGAGAAAGGGATAACTTTTACCAAAAGCTATTTAGTTCATTGCTGAAGACAAGATATTCAGATATACTCATTTTAGAACGTGATTTCAACGCTCAGGTAAGGTAGACATTTGGAAGGGCAAATTGAAAGCACCTGCACAAACCAATGCAGACGAACCGAAAACGCTGGTTCAAATAACTGCCAATTCCTCTTCAGCTCTAAATTCTAACACACGGAGACATATTGCCTCACATGGCGACAACAGACATCAACTCAAATATAGGCAGAGTTAGATCACAGAGATATAATCTATCAATGGGGATGATAGGCAGGAGGTATCCTCTCATTCTGGAATACCTGCGTAGACACGCATAAATCATTAATATATTTACCCGTATATATAGGACTGAACTACCATGGGAAGCAGACGGTAGGGAGAACATAAAACTAAAATTCACAAGAAAAACAGATACCATACTCCGAAAAACTAAGAAAATGCACAACAAGGATTGACAGAAGCAGCCATTTTGTAGAAAACATACACAAAAATCAGCCTCCCAAATTAGTGAAGCTACAATCTCTCGTAAAAGTGCAAGTCAAGCTAAGCGAATGTCAGCCTATTTCAGTGGCACCTTTCAAATCAACAGAGGCAAGAAAACTGATACCGGTGAAGTAACGGCGTACAACACGTGACGTGACTCTTGACCGAAAAAGTGGAATTTGACTCAGTCTATCGACAGGTGCTGTGGCAATGTCTGGTAGTGAAGCCAGGGCCGAGAAATTGTGTCTCACTAATCAAGGCACTCTTCTCAGAATCACGCGTCCGTGTGAGACCTTATGGAGAGTTGTAATCTGAAGTGATGACAATCAGTGTTGTCCCTTACGGATGCTTAATATCTACATTTTTGTTTAATTCCATCATAGACTTGCTGACGGATGTGACCCTAATCGACTTTGGATTGGCTAGCTATACCAGGGAGTATTCTTGCCGATACGGAGTGTGCACACAAAGTAGTCATTCTAGGTGAAGATGCTCACAAAATACAGAGTCTTCTGAACAACTCGAGTAGAAATCCTCATGTTTCTTGCGTGCGATTTGTCCCCGTCGAATATGAGATGATGATGCAGGACTGGGATGCATCGACTGGACTAGCGTCCAATGATTGCTGACGTAATCTCAGCACCCATAAAACTGGCTCATCTGGCACTTGCCAAACAACTCATCTGTCTCTTAGACTTCCCAGCCGACTGTCGATCAAAGAACGTGTGTATTGAGCAGCAGTTCTCTCATTCCTTTTTATGATTGTTGAACGTGATCATTGGAAGTGGAAGAGAGGTAGAGGTCGACTGCATTTGGCCACAGGTGTTTGCATTCTAGTCCTCGTTTTGTGTTGATTAAAATGCTGAGTGGCACTGGGGGGTTTCGTGTGGAGAGTTAGATAAGAAGGGAAAATCAGTAAATGAAGCCGTGAATATGCATTGATTCAGACGACTAGGACATGTGTTACTCATATGAAGTCATCGCCCTACTTCTCCATTTATAATAGATGACACCGGATTGGGTTGGAAAAGATCCACTGATAGTCAAACCAAAACATATATTCAGTCCATGAAGACCTCGACTGTTGCTTTGAATCACGTAGAAGGATACAGACCTTCTAGCTGGGATACTCCACAGACCAGAAATCAATGGCTGCAGACTTTTGTAACATGGTTCAAGTTAATACAGCTGGAGCAGTTCCACTCACTCTTTATGCACTTCCACATCCATCAAATTCTCACTTTTCCACATGCATTCATTCCTTCTCCCCTACGTCTCCATTCACTTCAGTTCCGTGGACATTTCTAGCCTTACCCACTGTGTGTTATATGCAGTGTGGTGACCTGAACAACTGTTGCACATTTGTGCATAGTCCTACATTGAAAACCCAACGAGTCGGTTCAAGTCACTCACCAGTCGTCAATCAGCGGCTTTCCTCCAGCCCATCCATCTCCATCCACATCTGACAAGACTGACTACTCTGATGACATGTTTCCTCCTCTCTTTCAGCTTGTCACTTACAACGTTCGCACATTCCTGGAACTCTGACACCAAACAGGTTTGACCAGGTTCGGGTCGAGTCATCACTCGACTCAATTCCCATCATTGGTTGTTGAAGCACTGTTAGGCGACAGGGTTATATTAGAGTAGAGTAGAGAGGAGCTGGTCAGTGACGTGGTAATCGTCTGTCATCTCTGTCTGTGCACTGACAGTTCCCATTAAGGAAGAGATGTGATACCGACTGACTGACTGACCTCAACTCAAATAAACGCACTCAAAAATATCTTGTCGTCCTAGATAGAGATGCGAATACACATATTTGAAACCTACGCTTAGTGCGACCTAGGTGGTCGGAGTTCAGAAAATGGACACCATCTTATCAAGGTTTCTGGAAATACCAACTCATTCCCAAACAACACAACCATCGCTATAGTGTCTCCTCTCTGTCGTTCAGGTCTGAACACAAATTGACCACATCGGTGTGTGATCGACCGATGGAGCTAGCGCATTAAACGACTACCAGTGCTTCTACTACACTTCTCTGAGTTCTCAACACGCCCCAGCGTGTCACCCATTCATCTTCCGATGTCGTGGTCATGCATCACCGTTATACGCTGAGGCGAGGATAAGCGGTTCCAATAACTATTGCCGCTTATTCCTTTATTGTTAGTAGATTTCTGTCTCACAGCTTTAGAGTTGGTCGAAATCGGTTGACGTGAAATGACTGAATAAGCTACGAGGCATCTCCACCACGTATATGGTAGAAGTCAGAAGTGGTGTCTTTGTATTCATATCACCATTCCAATCAGGAACCAGTCTCTTAGGTCAATCCAGTGAATGAACTTTCAGTTTGTAGTTGACATGAGACTTTGTTATTAAGACAATCGGATATTTACATACCTGTTCTGCATTTCCATTGATCGTCAAATTAGAAATGGCCCATGCAGCTTCCTTCTGTGTTAGGAATTCACTCTCGGACAGATGATGAATAATGAGTGGAACTAGACCATGATCAATTACAGCTTGCACTTGACTTTGGTTTCCTGCAGTTATATTGGACAGAAACCACACAGCCTCCTTGTTTATTTTATCTCTTGGATGGGTTAACAAAGCAGGAAAATGACTCAGAGCTCCACAATCCAGAACAACTTGTGTTTGCTGGTCCGAACCCGTAACAATGTTGCCAACAGCACGCAGTGCAGCGGTTTGCACCTTGAAACTTGAGTGTGACAACAACGGGACCAAGTGAGGCACGATCTCTGCATTAATTACCATTTCTATCTGATCGTTCCCTCCATCAGTTAAATAGGATATAGCCCACACGGTATCCACGAGTATCTGCAAACAGACCAACAAGCACAAAATATGTATCAATATGTATTCAAAAGTATTTTACTAAACGGGTCAAAATGATACTGAGGACCAGTGAAGTAAGGCTTGAGATCAAATGATCCTTAAATAAATTTTTCCGCCCCTTAACATTATTTCCAATACGGGAATTCCACTAGAGTCGACCTTGTATGTCAAGGGAACTGATGGCTATGCACATGTCCAAACCCTTTCATAACATATCAGAGATTACTGCCGTGACTATTATCACCACTTGCTTCGCAAAACATGAGTGGGGGTTTTGCAGATTGGAAACCTTTCTAACTGTTTGCGACCATGTTCCGCAGAACAGTTCCTTACGCCATGGTAGTTTCCCACTATACATTATCTACATTCTATGCTGACACACTACAAAATTATTTTCTGTATCACTTTCAAGACTACTTCGCAAAGCTATACACTTCGGTGGCAAGCAACGAAAGCATATCCCAACTGATGTTAAATGACAGTAAGGTAAATAAACAATGTGATAGCTGTCCGATTGATTCACCAAAAGCCGACACATTACCGGGTCAAAACTAAGGCGAAATAAATCATCTGTAATCAGATAACTCCAATATATACCAAAGACAATAACTTACACTGTCGTCAGTATGCTTGATCAAATATAGAAGGGCCGGAAGAAGTTCTCTGATAGCTGAAGCTGGTGGAGGCGGATCTTTGTTACGACACAGGTTAACCATGACCCAAGTGACATTGCGCAAGAAGTTAAGTGGTATGTTTGGTGTTAACAGCTTCAGTAGTGGCTTTATGACATCCAGTTGAATCACATAGTCGCGTAAAACAGGACCGTCCCCAATAATGTTTCCCAGTGCCCAAACAGCTTGTTCACACACATTGGGATGTGAAGAAGACAGCAACTTGAGGAAGAGTGGAACAGCTCCCGCATGAACCACAGCCAGGGTCTGTGAAGATGTGCCAGATGCAATATTTGTTAACGCCCAAGCAGCCTCGAATTGAAGATTGGGACTGCAAAACACAGAAATACCACACAAAGAGCAAATTAACTTTCTCAGAAAAATCTAAAGTGCTTTGAAAACCGACCCTGCGATGAGAAGCTATGGACAAGGATGCGCTGTTGAACAGAGAAGTGCCACCGGTAAACGAGTGGATATGTGTAGTCACAGAGCTCTGAATACCGACGACATTTTCATTACAATTAAGAATCACAGGTTATTGGCAATCTATCTGAATTATTTAGTACAAGGACTTGAAGCAACACTGAAAACAACATTGCGAAGTGGAACTCTATGGTAACTACCTTTATTTGCCAAATATACGAAAATACTGCAGTAAATTGTCTCTGCTGACACTCACTGACTGGTTACAACACAGAACTTTGCACCGATGTGCAGCAGTTCAAGTCGCTACACTCCATGTAGCACACACAGCGAGAGAAGAAAGTAGAAAGAAGTGCATATAAGAGATAGTAAACAGAGGCGTGAGACAAAGGAATAGTAATAACAAAGAACAAAACAGTTTCATTGGAAATCATTAGTCACAAGGAGTGGATGCATCTGCGCCGGCCAGTGAGAACGATTTTGAGCCATATCACCAATTGTTTCTAGTCATTGGTTTTTACCGTCCCGAGGACCACGACGAGGAAGTCTACACCTTCCTACGTGGCTCAAGCTAACTGTTGTGGATTTCATTGCTCTGCTAGCACATTGCAAACAGATTGGACAGAAGAGTAACAAAACCTTAGTTCGCGTTCACATCTTGGGACATCTTTGGTCAAAGTTAGTGCCTGTATTATTCCTGGAATCCTCGACAGCCTGCTGAACTCGTTTTGCAATGCCAATCTACCTTTCATTATCTGGTCTCAGAAGTCTCAGCTGTGGTAGACAGGTTCCAGCACTTTTGTTCGTGCCTAATTCCTTTATAAATCTCTCGGTCAATCCATGGGAACAATGTTTTCGACTCGTTTGGACAGACTAAGCGATGGAAGGTTTGGTTTCCTGAGCGTAAAGTTGCTCAAATTGTCCCTACACTTATGTACCAGTTCAGAGGCTTAGCCTATGAAATGATGGCATTTAAATCACCATTCCAAATGTTTGGTCGAGCTTGGGCTTTGGTCCATTACACTGCTTCTGTCAACTTGAAACCGAGCACAGTGCGGTTACTTCTTCCTAAGGGATGAAGATGTTGTACGAGGTCCACATCCTCGTCATGGGAGAAAGCCAGATCTACGGTTATGGAGACTTGCTGTGGCTCATAGTGCGTGGGCTTCGTGATATGTCATAGGGTTAGTGAAATACTGCATTCCAGAAGATTATAGTCAAAGGAGTTTTGTGGATATGGCGTTATAAGGACTTTCCAGTCAACTGTTGGGGGGGGGGGTGAATTACCTGACCACTAGACTCCAACATTCTGACATCCATTAGCTTAGCTTCTCTATTACGATATCGTCAGCATTGCAGTTGAGACTACTGTATAAAGTAATGAGGTCAAAGCATTGGATTGTGTACTCAAGTCTGCAATGTAGACGTCCTCATGCTACAACTTCTTTTGTCAGAATGTCGATGTTCTACACAGTTAGACATATACTTTCTGTCTCGTACCCCAACTAGAAGGTCTGTATCCTTCTACGTGATTCAAAGCAACAGTCGAGGTCTTCATGGACTGAATATATGTTTTGGTTTGACTATCAGTGGATCTTTTCCAACCCAATCCGGTGTCATCTATTATAAATGGAGAAGTAGGGCGATGACTTCATATGAGTAACACATGTCCTAGTCGTCTGAATCAATGCATATCCACGGCTTCATTTACTGATTTTCCCTCCTTATCTAACTCTCCACACGAAACCCCCCAGTGCCACTCAGCATTTTAATCAACACAAAACGAGGACTAGAATGCAAACACCTGTGGCCAAATGCAGTCGACCTCTACCTCTCTTCCACTTCCAATGATCACGTTCAACAATCATAAAAAGGAATGAGAGAACTGCTGCTCAATACACACGTTCTTTGATCGACAGTCGGCTGGGAAGTCTAAGAGACAGATGAGTTGTTTGGCAAGTGCCAGATGAGCCAGTTTTATGGGTGCTGAGATTACGTCAGCAATCATTGGACGCTAGTCCAGTCGATGCATCCCAGTCCTGCATCATCATCTCATATTCGACGGGGACAAATCGCACGCAAGAAACATGAGGATTTCTACTCGAGTTGTTCAGAAGACTCTGTATTTTGTGAGCATCTTCACCTAGAATGACTACTTTGTGTGCACACTCCGTATCGGCAAGAATACTCCCTGGTATAGCTAGCCAATCCAAAGTCGATTAGGGTCACATCCGTCAGCAAGTCTATGATGGAATTAAACAAAAATGTAGATATTAAGCATCCGTAAGGGACAACACTGATTGTCATCACTTCAGATTACAACTCTCCATAAGGTCTCACACGGACGCGTGATTCTGAGAAGAGTGCCTTGATTAGTGAGACACAATTTCTCGGCCCTGGCTTCACTACCAGACATTGCCACAGCACCTGTCGATAGACTGAGTCAAATTCCGCCTTCATGTCAAGGGGTTATTCTCTCTGTATTATTATGCTCTTCATATTTGACCGGCGGTAATAATATCTTCCATATTTCTGTTTTTTGCATTGAGTCATTTCTGTTGCATGTGTTGGGTGTAGAATCGATGAATATGGATTCCATAATCAACCTCTCTCCACCTGCCTATATTCCTTTTTAGAATTTTAACCCTCTCCCACCCTTTTGTGTGGTTGTTTTTAATGTGTGAAGTGCAATAGCTGAGCTTTTTTCTAAATTACCCATGTTCTCGGGGTCAACCGTTCTTCCCTTATCTAAATTCATATGCCCCGACAATCTGACTGCCCCTTATCTACTAGTTTGATGCATGTAGTTGACTTCACAGTCATTGCAGGGTATTTTTAAAATTATATTATTTTGTTTAATTGGGTCCACCGGGTCTTTCAACCTACAAAGTTTGTCTCTGAGTGAGTTTGTGGGTTTGAATGCCACCCTAATTCCTGCTTTATTGAGAATCCTACATAGGGCCTCAGGTGTCCCCTCTTTATATGGTATAACAGTAGAAGACTTATATTCTCTTTTATGTATGTTATTACTACTAGTTACACGATAATTTTTATTTTGTCTTTGGCCTTTACTGATCTTCCTAATGAATTTTATAGGATAGTTATTCAACACCAACGCTTCTTCTATCTGTTTTATTTCGTCATTTAGGTCCTTTTTTGTCAGTTTTGATATAACTAGTCTTTACCCTAATATACCAGTCAATATGCCCTTAGAATCGGTTAAAAGAGAACTAACTTCTGATTCCGAACTTATTCATAGGACAAAGCTGCCCATTGAAGAAATTATTTTAGGGATCCAGTTATGCCTCACATCTACTATCTTCATGTTCCAAGGCAAAATATATCGACAAACAAGTGTAGCAATGGGATCACCAATATTCCCTATCGTAGCAGATATATTTATGGATAGCTGGGAAAATATGGCTCTTAATACGTCTAATCCTCCTCCAAAAATATGGTGGAGATATGTGGATGACACTTTCACAGTGTTAATAACAGAACATATCTCTAGCTTCTTGACACACATAAATAAACTCACTAGTGGAGGGAATAAAATTCACATTTGAATCAGAAAATGAACAAGGAGAATTAACCATGTTAGATTGTAAGATAAAACGAATAGAAGAAGGCAAACTACACACTAGTGCTTATAGTAAACCAACGCATTCTAATAGATATTTAGACTTTAATTCGTCTCATCCTTTAACTGTTAAGGCAGGCTTAGTGAAGTGTCTGACAAACCGAGCCATAGCACTAAGTAGCACAGAAAAGGACCTAAATGACGAAATAAAACAGATAGAAGAAGCGTTGGTGTTGAATAACTATCCTATAAAATTCATTAGGAAGATCAGTAAAGGCCAAAGACAAAATAAAAATTATCGTGTAACTAGTAGTAATAACATACATAAAAGAGAATATAAGTCTTCTACTGTTATACCATATAAAGAGGGGACACCTGAGGCCCTATGTAGGATTCTCAATAAAGCAGGAATTAGGGTGGCATTCAAACCCACAAACTCACTCAGAGACAAACTTTGTAGGTTGAAAGACCCGGTGGACCCAATTAAACAAAATAATATAATTTTAAAAATACCCTGCAATGACTGTGAAGTCAACACTCGTACTATTATTTTGGAATGTACATTATCTGATATTGAATTTTATTCCAATATCTAATCGATTCCACACATGTATATAAATGAAGGAAAGAAGTTGTGTTAGTAACTTGATATGATTATCAGCAATAGGTTGTGCTCGAAACGTCATCAGTTAATATAGCTGTGTAACACTGTGTGATTTATCATAATAAAATCTTATCCATTATGCAGCCTGAAGCAGTTACGAAAGAATAATGTTTATCCTTTTGCAGATATTCAAGATGGAAATCGAATTGCGTGAATCAAGCAGCCGGGAAGTGATACTCTGCCACACTCCTAGAAGCACACGAAGTTTCCTTATTATTACTCTGTTTCATCTTATCCCTTTCCTGTCAGTGTTAATAGCATGGAAAAGAAAGTTACTACGTTTTCTCTTTATTGTGTGATCATTATTGGCAACGAATCAGAAAAGTGATGCTCCTAGTCTCTTAAACCTACACTATCCAGCGTGGTTAGGAAAGGGAGAACACAAAAGGGTATGCAGTTGGATAACGGAACATCTGGTGAATTCTGGACATTCAGCCCCATTTGAAAAGTCCTTCAAAGCCATTTACAAGATCCTATCCAACCTACCAAAGGGAGTGCGATCAAGATATCTAGGAAAGGATGAAGCACTGGCGACCCAAAAACTCAATCCTACTATATTTGACTGGATGGAGGATTTCATCGTGAGCTGACATAAGCTGGAGAACCACCGGAAAACCTTTGATTACTGGACAGCTGTTTCGTCCTAGTTTGGGACTCTTCATCA